CCTGCTACAACGGATAGAAGACGTAACCTTATCGATGGGCCTTAAAATAAACAGGGATAAAACGAGAATCATGATAATTGACAGAGCTAACAACAATCAAAATCATCTGGTTAGGATAAACAATATCGCTGTTGTAGATAAATTTGTGTATCTGGGCTCATTAATAACCAACAAAGGAGGCTGTACTGAAGAAATAAAGCGGCGGTCAGCAATCGCAAAAAGCGCTATGGCAAAATTAACAAAAATTTGGAAAAGCCATGAAATTACTACCGATACAAAAATGAGACTAGTAAGAAGTCTAGTTTTTCCAGTTTTTACTTATGCATCGGAATGCTGGACCCTTACTGAGAAAGACAAAAAGAACATAGATGTATTTGAGATGTACTGCTGGAGACGAATGCTGAGAATACCATGGGTGGCCCGAAGAACAAATGAATCCATACTGGTCCAGCTAAACATAAAGAAAAGACTAAGAACACAAATAACAGAACAGATAATAAGCTATTTTGGACATGTGCTTCGAAGAAATGGTCTTGAAAAACTTACCATCCAGGGAAAAGTAGAAGGCAAAAGAAGTAGAGGTAGATCTCCTACACGATACACGGACCATATTGTTGCTACCATTGGCGCTCCATTGTCAGAATGTGCTAGATTGGCAGAAGATAGAAAAACGTGGAGGAACATTGGAAAAATTACCTAACAGCTTCATGATATCACGATACCTGCATCAGGTTAACGACTAAGAAGAAGAAGTATAAAAAGAGATGTCCCGGTCGAAAAAAACAGTATGGCTTTGTACGTCACCTACAGAATATGCAAGAATATGCTAGAATATGCAATCAAACAAGCAAAAAGTGGTAAGGCCCCCGGTCCTGATAAAATTCCCGCAGAACTGCTCAAACTTATGGACGATGAATCTATTAAAATACTCCTAGATCTATTTAACACAATATATAGAACTGGAGCTAATCTTGTAAGAGACAATACAACGATTGAGCGTGTGCCCTGTTATAAATATCTAGGTGCTTGGATCACAGACGATACTGATCAAACAAAAGAGATTAGATGAAGAATAGAAATCGCTAGATCAGTCTTTAATAGAATGAACTTTGATGGTACACAAGGCAAATATCGAACACAGTATTTAATTAAATCTTGCCCAAGTACTTTCGATCACAAGATCATCCTCAGGGGCATCTGAAATAAGCCAAGAAACGTTTTTTAAAAAAGAAATTTTAATTCACTTGGATAAAAACTCCAAGTTTATAGTTGAAAAAAGTTTTTTATGTGATTAACGTTTATAGACTTACTTCGTCAATTGTGGCCTATCCAGCAATAATGGAATGTCATACATGTAAACTGGGACATAACAAATACACTAAAGACAAACAAACACTTTAAAATTTAAATTGGAGAAGCTACATTTTTATATTATAGAAGCCGGAGACAGAATGGCTCCCAGCCTGGCGGAGGCGGAAATATTGGGGTGACATGTGACAAATGACAGCTTGTGAAGGGCAGTTACAATAGATAAGTGATCTGCGCCTTTCAAGATTCTATGAAACTAGGTATTGACCAAAGGTCCAACTGACACCACTATAGGAAATCAACTGAAGAAATATAAAATTATATCTAATATTTTAAGTAGATTGAATAATCCAGATCTCACACTCAAACCTGTTTATAATAATTAGGATGTTAGTTTGAGAGGAATTGAAGTTGACATAAAGTATGAATGTAAGAAATAGACTAAACAATATATTAGACAGTGGATAGTTGACTACAATAAAATGGTCTACTAAGCACTATCAGTACTGTAAAAAGAAAAGAAAATCTGAATATTCAATTGAATTGCTAAAAATTAAAATCAAAATTAAAGCAAAATATATAAGTGGGTTGTAATCCAAGTAGTTCAGTTGAATCCACAGTCAATGGAAGAACTTTCAAATTAATATGTAAATACTCAGTGCATGAAGTCTAAACAGTCGAGCTGGGCCCTCTACGAGGTGGAGCTGTAATAAAGTTTTTAAATATAGGATTAAATTTAGTACAATTTAAATTAATTTGAGTATTAAGACAGTGAGAGTTTTCATTTGTTTCCCTTGTAATCTCCAAATCTTCCAATAAATCCAACTCAAGATAATTTTTCTTTCTACTGATGTCATGTAAGATGGATGAACCAGAATTGATGTTAAAATTGTGGTTGCTGGATACTAAGTGTTGACCAAAACTTGAAGAGTTTGGTCTTTTCAAATGTTCAGAGACTCTAGTGGATAACTTTCTGATGGTTCTACCTACATAAGAGGCATCACAATCATCACATTTTAATTTGTAAATACCACTTTTATCAAGTGTATTCATCCTATCTTTGGTATTGATTAAGAAGGAGCCTAGAGTGTTATGTGATTTAAACGAGATTTTGATGTTATCAATTGTAGAAGTAAAAAGTTTAGATATTTTATTGGAAATGCTGCTAATATAAGTGAAGGAGAAATATTTGATGTTATCTGAAACATTAGGTTGAAAAGACTGTGATGAATATGCAAGCTTTTCTGCAATTTTTAGTTTAGCTCTATTTAGAAGTTTGTATATAATGTTAGGATCATATCCATTATTGACAGCAATCTGTTTAAGAGTATTGAGTTCTGTATTAAAATTATCATCTCAACATCATCTCAACAACATCAACAGCTCCACCTCGTAGAGGGCCCAGCTCGACTGTTTAGACTTCATGCACTGAGTATTTACATATTAATTTGAAAGTTCTTCCATTGACTGTGGATTCAACTGAACTACTTGGATTACAACCCACTTATATATTTTGCTTTAATTTTGATTTTAATTTTTAGCAATTCAATTGAATATTCAGATTTTCTTTTCTTTTTACAGTACTGATAGTGCTTAGTAGACCATTTTATTGTAGTCAACTATCCACTGTCTAATATATTGTTTAGTCTATTTCTTACATTCATACTTTATGTCAACTTCAATTCCTCTCAAACTAACATCCTAATTATTATAAACAGGTTTGAGTGTGAGATCTGGATTATTCAATCTACTTAAAATATTAGATATAATTTTATATTTCTTCAGTTGATTTCCTATAGTGGTGTCAGTTGGACCTTTGGTCAATACCTAGTTTCATAGAATCTTGAAAGGCGCAGATCACTTATCTATTGTAACTGCCCTTCACAAGCTGTCATTTGTCACATGTCACCCCAATATTTCCGCCTCCGCCAGGCTGGGAGCCATTCTGTCTCCGGCTTCTATAATATAAAAATGTAGCTTCTCCAATTTAAATTTTAAAGTGTTTGTTTGTCTTTAGTGTATTTGTTATGTCCCAGTTTACATGTATGACATTCCATTATTGCTGGATAGGCCACAATTGACGAAGTAAGTCTATAAACGTTAATCACATAAAAAACTTTTTTCAACTATAAACTTGGAGTTTTTATCCAAGTGAATTAAAATTTCTTTTTTAAAAAACGTTTCTTGGCTTATTTCAGATGCCCCTGAGGATGATCTTGTGATCGAAAGTACTTGGGCAAGATTTAATTAAATACTGTGTTCGATATTTGCCTTGTGTACCATCAAAGTTCATTTATTCGAACATTCAACCTTATATTGGTTTAATAGAATGCGCAAACTCTTTTGCAATCGTGATATCAATATAAAGTTACGAATACGAATGCTGCGGTGTTATGTCTTTTCTACCCTGTTATATGGAGATGAGGCTTGGACACTAAAACAGTTGACCATAAAAAACATCGAAGCTTTCGAGATGTGGTGCTATAGGCGCATTCTCAGAATATCATGGATGGACCGCGTCACTAACACGCAAGTACTCCAAACTTTAGACAAAAGATGCGAAATTCTAAATGAGATAAAAACTAGAAAGATGGAATACTTGGGGCACATTGTGAGAGGTGAAAAGTACGAACTTTTAAGAAACATCATGCAGGGCAAAATTAAGGGCAAAAGAAGTGTGGGAAGAAGAAAAATATCGTGGCTTCGTAATCTACGTGAATGGTTCGGGTGTAGTTCGATTGAACTTTTCAGGCGCGCTGCTAACAAAGTCGCAGTGGCCATGATGATTTCCAATCTCCGCTAGGAGTAGCACGAGAAGAAGAAGACGTCACCTACGTGAATGTTTTAATTAGTCTTCGTCGTCTCTCTTCAGAGATGAAGTAAATAAAATTATGATAGCTAATATGTATGCCAAGGGTCAAATGATACAACAGGTAAATTCCATAAAACATTTGGGAGCAAATATCAATAGTCACCAGTGTTATCCAAAAAAAGAAATACTATCAAGAATCGAACAAGCCAGGAAAACATTAATTAGTATGAAAACATTTTTTACAAGATCAGACCTTAGTCTGCAGCTTAGAATCCGAATGATTAGATGTTACGTTTTTTCTGTCTTACTGTATAGCTGTGAAAGTTGGACAATGGACTCTGAAATAGAAAAAAGAATAGATGCCTTTGAGCTCTATATACACAGATGAATGTTGAGAATTCCATGGGTACAAAGAGTTACTAATGTTGAGGTACTTCGTCGAATGTGTAAACAAAAAGAATTACTAAGAATAATCAAAGAGAGGAAAATGCAATACTTGAGTCATGTGTTGAGGGGCAAAAAATATAAATTACTTTAAGTTAGACTGGAAGGAAAAGCCTAGGGCAAAAGATCAGTAGGAAGACGCCAGAACTCATGGCTGAAAGACCTAAGGAGATGGTTCGATCGCTCATCCGCAGAACTCTTTCGCGCAGCAGTTTTCAAAACCACAATTGCCATTTGGATCGCCAACCTTCGAAAGAAGACGACGCCATGAGAAGAAGAATATGATAACCAACGCAACATCCAGTAATGGATATGGTATGGAGAGAAAAAGAAATTTACTTCATATCATATCACATTCGAACTTGCAGTTTCATTTGAACATGTATTGCAATATTCAGATATTACTTTTTTATTTTTTATTTTATTCGCTACTCACCCAAATATACCAATCGCTAGATAAACCATCCATTTAGATTTCATCTCCAACGACAGCGTTAATCCTCCCAGGGAAAGAGTAGTTAACACAAAAATAACAAATCCGGTTTCCCTAAAAATAGTTCACAGTAAAAAAATTATTGTTTACAGTAAAAAATTCGGTCTCGTAGCGAACTTACTTGTATTTGTGGGTTTTGTCCAAGACGATACCCGTTACAATGGACCCAACCATTCCTGTTAGGATCATTACAAGTCCCATTCGGCCAGCTTCTTCTTGTTCTCCCTAAAACATTTTATTATACAATTTTATTTGTATGTTATACCATTTTTATAGTATATTATAAACGAAGAATTACGGAGATATAAATAAAAGTAATATTAAAGTTTTTGGGGCAACGATATGGGAATTTATAATAAATAGGTACTTTTAAGAGATCAGACAACCAATTATATCATTTATGTAGAAAAAATCGCGCCTCACTTGTTTGGGATAGCAGTTGCTATTGTCAGTTGCACGAAAAAATAATAAAACTCATCAAGGATGCAGGTATAGATTCGACAGATAAATCAGAATCATAATAAACCTATATTCGAACTCATCGCCAAAAATAAAAATCAATACATTCTTGACAAAAAACATTTTAAGGGTAATGTTTTTACATATTCTATAGAGAATAGAAGTTTAAGCGTTTTTAAGAATATTTTTATCAGTAGGAACATTTCACTATCCTTAAAAATGCCATTAATTAAATGATATTTATTTTCGGTTCTACTATATCATGTGGAACCATGGATCTTGTCATGACAATTAATGAAAAAACTCTCAGCCTTTAAAATTTAGATATATAGAATACTCTAAATACTCAGAACTGGTCATATAACGAAAAAGGAAGTACTAGTGGGAATGGATAAGCAACAGGAAATTGCGTTTATAGTGAAAAAAGGAAACGAGAATACTTTGGCCATGTTATGATACACAGTAAATACCGCTTCCAGCAACTCATTCTCCAGAGGAAAGAGAAAAGAATGAGGGGTCTGGATAAAAGAAGAAATTCTTAGATGCAAAATCTAGTCGAATGGTTCGGCCTAACATCTATCTAACTATGTATTTATGCAATATGCCAATAAGATACATGGACCGACACCGACGATGCAAATAGAATGATAAGTCAATCAGTGTAGGCCGACTTTAAGGATAAACCTCACTTAAAACACTCATATATTTTCCGTAAAACTACATTGCTCACTCATTGTATATTGAGAGGTAAAAGCATACCAGTTGTTTTATGACTTTATATGATGTTAATATGGATGCAAAGTGTCCTTTCTCTTTCCAGACTCTGTCAAGTACGTAACAAAAATAAAATAAAAATATACCAAAAAGTCAAAAAACTCAAAAAATACATAATATTAACTTACCGGAAAATAATTTAAAATTAATTGGTTCAGTAAAGTACCAATCGAACAATAAATGCCTACGTTACAAGCATAGCACAAATTATGTAACAGGAAAGATTTGGTTTGAAGTAGACTTTTTATTGATTTCATAAACGACAAAAATGTAACTGTTTGTCTATTCTGTCGTTCTTCCAACATAGCTTGGCTTGGAGGAAATGGAGGTTCCGCTGCAAAATCTACAATAAAACATCAATTAAAGGATTCCCCAAACCAACGCGAAACTTTCGCAGCCGCAACCTACGCGGAATCGCGGCGAATCGTAAGGCACGGCGACTTATGCAGGTGTTCAGACAAGTTGGGGCGGAATCCGCAACGGTCGCGGCAGATCAGCGTTGTTTTCATGAAACGCTGCATGCACGGTTTTTTCCGCTGCAGTTATAGTTTCGCGTGAATTAAAATGGCTGTTACAGAAAAACTAATTGAAATTGTGAAACAATATCCTATACTTTATGATTTAAGGGACGAAGATTATAAACATATAAGAAAAAAGTTTCATTGGAGTTTAAAAAAAATTGGAGTTTCAACAAGATCAAGAAGCAGCTGGCTTTTGCACTTCCAATTCAAATACTTACATGTTCTTCTCGGAGTAATACACAGTTAATACCAATACTTTCCCCTATATGTGTCTATACTAACAATACTGAATGTATGGAGCTACCTGTTTTTTTCAGTTTCGGCAAGTGCCAATAGTAGAAGAGCTTCTTCTTCATCAGGCGAAGTCATTATGTATTTGTAAGCTACGAATAAACGACTAAAAATATAATTTGCTCACATTTGTATGGCGAACAGTCGCGTCGGGTTTCCGCCAATGTGGGGAAGCCTTGTCCGCTACCGCTCCGCCTGCTGAAATCTTAAATGTATTTAAGTTGTGCTATGATAAGCAATAAATTGTTTAAATTATTAATTCTTTTTGTTTTAATTATAATTTTGTTTGTGGTAACTCTGAATGGATCAACGCAAACCTGTTAATACTAGCCCCAAAGCTTTTGGAGACAGGATGTTCTTTCCAGGCCTGTACTTCTCTTCCGACGATATTAAATAAGAGATGGATTTTAATTACTAATTATCGAGCTCTTTTCATAAAACGGCAAGATGACACTAAGTATGGCAGGCAATAAGGTTTGGGCACTACAAACTCTAATCATCTTAATACATAAAAAACTATATTGTTTGGATACATTATATAAAATTCCAAAACAACAAAAATCGACCTACAGAAGTCTCGATAATAACAGGTGATTCAGTGGAATTCTGGGGAGAAAATAGAGGTGTACAGAATATTAAGAAGGTGCAAAACTCATTGCGAATATCAGTGCGACGACGAAGCTTAAATCTGGGACTATCTATACCACTACGAGCAGAATTTTGCATAAAGATCTCCAGTATTATCCATACAAAATCTAGATTGTGTAAGAACTATCCCACTTGATTAGGGTTTTGTGTCGACAATTTGCTGCATACCCTTTCGATAAATGATAAAGCCTACTTTCATCTGCAATTTCTTGCAATGTTGTGCAATGTCTTCGTTACGGATCACTAGGCCTTCCCGGTTTTATTCCCAAAGTAACCTCCCAAGAACTATCGAGTGGGAACAGTAAACAGCTTTGTACCACGGCTGCAATAATGTGTTCGATGAAGGCCAATAAAATAAATTTATTTTTTTCTTAAATGCTCGTAACGTTAATTAAGGATATTATTGATGTTTGTTAGTGTTAATTATTTTATTCTTTTCACTGATGAGTACACATTTACTCTCTGAGTAAATGTGTACTCATCAGTGAACATATCTTATACAAAATGTGGATCGTTATTTACGGTATTCAATGACAGTTTTTAAAAATCAATCTCGTGTCTATGTTCTGAGACCTCTCAATAAACTCGTAATCTCGTTCCTTGATCCAGGACGATTTTAATAAAATCAAGAACTTTTTATTCTCAGACAACGCGGCATTGAGCATATGTCGGCATAGCTTCTTATTTATTCTAAGATTTAAATTATGTGTCCATTATTATTTGTTCAACCCGTCACGTCGTATAGTTTTAACATCTGCGGCACTGGCATTATCATTAAACGCATTTAATACTTTTAACACATCTACCTATTCTCGATTAGAATAATAACGTTCCATTTTTAAAACAAATAACTGAACAAATTATATTTATATTAATAGTGGACAGACTAGAAATTGACAGACCTCGCAACATTGAAAGTCCATGATGAAGATGGTCTACAAATATAAAATGTATATAAAAAATTTATTATTACAATCTAGTACAAACCAAAGTAGAGTTGGTTGATATAATCCTTAACCTACGCAAAAAATATTTGGTGTACGAAAAACTTATACACTAAATATTATATAAATATTTGGTATTTACTTCAACAAGATATGTTTACCAAAAGAAATAATAGAAATGCTGCCATATAACAATAAACCTGATAATAATATAAAATATATGGAAGGCATTAGATAATTTTAGTTAAACATTGACGTCAAATAAAATAATAAACGAAAATAAATTATTAAGCAAATTTATAGTATCTAGGATATAAAGATATCGTCAAAGGTACGCAAAAATTACTAAAAATCGATGAAATGAAAACATGGTCTACGTCAGTTGATAAAGTAAAACATTATTAGTGTACAAATATGTCGAAGTAGTTAACATTTTTAAGGGTACTATTTAACCAAAGTATTTTAATAAGGTATAGTCATAAAATGCTCAAAGCATTTAATGATGACCCTTACTATCAAACGCCTTTTCGTCATCTACGAATACAAGAAAGACACGCTTGTTGTATTCTGTGCACTTATCTATTAACGTTTAATATTGACTTTCTCTTATTCAAAGGCCTTAGGTGAGGTCATGTCCTTAATTGATCTTCCCACGCATTTTCACCTTACAACATCCCATTATATCCAGCTACCAACCCGCATTGGTCTAACGGCTTATGGAAATGGCTAAATACCCCTGTAAATATGACCAGACGAAGGGTAGAAGGCCTATACAATCATTGTTACCCCATTTTTCAGTTGTAAGATAATGACACATACTTTTATATAAGTTTAGAGACAATATATCTTCTTGTTGTAATACCCTTATATGTTATTTTTTTGTTAAAGAAAAATTCCTAATGCCTTGAAACTTGGTACATACGTTTTTCTTAGTTCTATTAACTTTAGGCTAAGTTTTAGAGTTTTGAAAATTAGTACACAAGTTCCTTTTAATGCACGAAAAAATTTCGAGCTAATAGATCTCTTTCACTTCTCATAATCTTAGAGGAAAATCAATAGGTCTTATTTTTCTACTCGTATTCTTAAGCTTTACTTTTTCTTAAAAAAAAAAATTTAGCTTTAAAATCTGATACATAGATACCCTCTGGTTTAAGGAAGAATCCTTAGATAGTTCGAAAGATATATTTTCTTGGTCTTTCAAGTTGAGTTATAAATACTTATAAATAATTTATTGATTAAAAACAGATATATTATATAAATGGTTTTTTAAAGACAAAAATAATACTATAGTCCGAGTAATAAATAATGTGTTACCCTTTATTTTAAATAAATGTAAAACAAGTCTTAAATACTTACAAAAGAACATAGCTAGTGTAACTGGTGCCATTGCCAATGTTAATCCCCAACTGATGATCTTTAAGTTATTACCAATTTCGGCTAAATTATCACTGTCTTGTACTATCATCGGTGGGATTACGAAACCTAAAGCACTGCCAAATGTTAAACCAAACAGTCCTAGAGAACAAGCTGTAGATACCTGTATATAAAAATAATTCGATAATATACTTAAATCAATATTTCTGTGAAAAACTAAATCTATATGTATATGCAGACTAGTGTTGCCCAAAATCGGTATTGGTCTTGCAGTCTTGGTCTTGTTCTTGCGTTTTCGCAAGACCAAGACCAATACTGACCGTGCAAGATTTATGCAAGAGCAGGACTAAGCCTGCGAGATTCTTGCGTCTTGTAGTTAGGACTGAGTGTCGTTTTAGCGAGTATAGTATTTCGGGTATATGCTTAAAGTCACTATGAGACGCAAAAAAATATGTAATTAAAATTTGAAAAACTGGACTTATGCGCATTACAAACAATACCTTAAACATACATATCGAATCAAAATATTTATTAAAAGAACACATTTGACACGTGCTCAGAGGTCATAATTACAATGTAAAAATAAAATATTTTGTACATTCTTTTCCAGCATACGACTTCTTCGTTCTGAAATTAATTGTCTAGATTTTAAAAATAACCACCCTTTAATCATAAAATAATTTTGCATTGCGACGCCGACAGTAATATCGTATCGATTTTTTTGTTAAATATGTCACGCTAATAAAAAATATATCACTTTGTTACGGACGCCCACTTAATAACTCATTTTTTTTTATTTTAATTTAGTTAAGAGAAATCTAAATAAACAAATCTTATCGGTCTAAGACTAAACATTGTTTCTGCTGAGTGTGAGATGAGATCTCTCGGTTAAACAAAATTTGCTGAAAGAGCGCGACTAATATTCAAAAGTAACGAAATAAATTAATAACAGATAATGTCGTCTATCGTGTAAACAAAATACCGAAATATTTAGAATAACGAAGTAACGATATATAATTCTCGGTTTGTTATTACATACTTAGGGTAATGAATAGTAACGGACATTTATAGTAGTAGTTACTTTTTCGACATCACTAAACTTCATTTAACAAGTTTACAATTGACATGAGTGACAAAGATTCAAATAGTTTTAATCGGAGTAGTGAGCGTTGGAATTATGGATCTAAAAGACCTAAAAGCAAATTTGATGAGTTTGTCGAAATAATTCATGCATCCTAAATTGCTTTCTGTAAATTGTGCCTACATAGAAAGGTTGAAATGAAAATGAAAAACAAAAACACATCAGGTTTAAGGAAGCATCTAATATCTTTTCACAAAAAAAATTACAAATATTTCTTCCTGAAAAACCAAAATTCTGGTTCCTAAAAAAATGTACCTACTACTTTATTTTGGTAAATTAATGTATTTATTAATTAGATATCTCCTTAATTTAAAATAACTTCTTTTGATTATCATTGCTTTTTTACCTATTCTTTATTTTTTCAAGTTAGTTTTTTATTTAAAAGTAGAGCTAAGATTATTAATAACATTTATGTTGCTTTAATAAGTGGATTATAGTTTGTTATCTTATCGCCGAAAGAACCTGTGCCCTTAATACATTTATGTGGATTTTTTGCCACATACCAATCTTATTTAAGATTTCCATTTCATATATGGTGTATTTCTAGACAGATAATGTTCTTCAAAAAACAGTCAAGTTTATGTCATTAATTTGTTTTTGTGTTTTAACCATGTTTGATTGACTTCCGTGGGGCATGGTAGATAGCTGAGTTAGTTAGAGCATAGGCACGGATCGATTAGATCGTGGATTCAAACCCCCCTAGTAACGTTTAATAAATAGCAATAGGCTGATGCAATTGTTGCAAGACCAAGACCAAGACCAGGAGTGCAATACCAAGACCAAGACCACGACCAGGTGTTGGGGCAAGACTGTCTAAGTCTCGTCTTGTTCTTGCATTTAGGCAACACTAATGCAGACTATGTGAATGTACAATTCTAGATTCATAACTTCTGTTTCAGGTATTGCAATGGCATCAAGTTGAAATACAAACGAAGAATGAGAAATGAACTAGAATATTTATATAGTAAACACAATATCATGGGAAACACATAATATACGATAGTGAATATACGATTCTCGATAATGATAAACGACTTAGTAACTTACTTCCTGTGGTTTAAACCACGTAACCGCTAGTTTAGATGGCAAAGTCAAGATGAATATCTGCGAAACAGCCACTATAGTCTGTCCAATCATAACAACCCAAAATAGGTTTTCTCCTATGGAAAATATTTTGATTGCAGCTCCTAACAGCGTTAGGAAGGCTCCTATGAGGGCCGCAACTCTTAAACCCTGGAATAATAAAAAAAAATTAATTATTAAAAACATCAATTGTTTAAAACTTTTTTAAATTTTTTTAGTATTATGATCAGAGTTCGGATATGTTCGGATATTATGCGTTTATATACAAAAATAATAATGCATATTTTTTGGTTTTTAACATAATATTTATATAAGTGAAATCTGAGAATTTAACCACCTTTATAGTACCGCCCATCTATGTTATACATTGACCACTGATTTTTCCCAATTTGTAACTTTACCCCTGTTGATTGATCATCTACTGCCCCATATTTTAAATTATTTACTACTAATTATAATTAAAAGATTGGAACTAAGATACGATACTCAAACTTCGAGAAATGGTACACAGGGATTAAAACCATTATATAAAAGGTACTTAAAGTTTTATATAATTTTAAAAACCTTTGGTCACTTCCTAATTCCTTAGTTCCTAAAATACAACACATTTAAAAATAACATGTGCAAAAAGTGTGTAAAGGGGGAGTGAAGCGCAACACATCATACCGTATCCTTTTAGCATCACTCAGCCTCTTCTACTCAATTCCTATCTACACCTCCAAGTTGGTACACACCAGTAACCTGAGCAACCCCACTGGAGATTGGGTAACCAACCCCAGTGGAAGGTGGGGTAAGGGCTGACGACGAAGGGAGCCTTGGTTCTACGATGAATAAGGGGTTGAGCGAAAGGCTAACAACCATTCCCTGTAAAACTCAATTGTTGCGAATACAATGGCTAATAAAACAAACAGATGGACTTACAACGACGAATTCAGCAAAGAAAAATGGACATGATTATGGATTTAAAATTTGAAACCTGGAATGTGCGAACCCTCTTAAAAAGGCAGGAGCGATTATAAGTATGGCAGAAGAAATTGAAATAGAAGTGGTTGAAATATTGGCAGTGCAGGAAATCAGGTGGAAGAGCCAGGGAGAAATTCGTAAAAATAAGTTCTCACTATACTACTCCGGCCAGTAAAGATGATCAACGCCATCATGATCAACGCCAACTTGTTAGCCAAATCTCTGACGAGGTGGAAGAAGAACCTGATATACTCGAAAATGAAGTAAGACAGGCTATCAACAAGCTCAAATATAACAAAGCACCAGGTCCAGATATGATAACAGCAGAAATGTTTAAAGCCACAGAAGAAACCGGCGTAAAGTTACTTCATCTACTTTGTAACCAAATACAGCATTCCAAACAATGGCCTGAAAACTGGACAAAATCTACAATAACGACCATACATAAAAAAGGCAGCTTCCATAAATGCGACAATTATAGAACTATCTCTCTTATATCCCATGCCAGCAAGATAATGCTACATATAATCAATGAGAGACTGAAAACATTTTTTCAAAGAGAAATTCCACAAGAGCAAACTGGATTTACTAAAGGTAGAGGCACTCGAGAACACCTGCTGAATATAAGACAGATAATCGAGAAATCTAGGGAATTCAACATCCCACTATACATCTGTTTTATAGATTACCGCAAAGCGTTCGACAGGGTCAAGTGGAGACACTTATGGCGAATACTAAAAGAAGTAGGCGTAATACAACATCTAATTACGCTCTTAACTGAACTATATGAACACACTATTGGATCAGTTAAAGTACTTGACACACTTTCGAACGAGTTTCATCCAGAACGGGGTATCAGACAAGGATGTATACTATCTCCACAATTATTCAACATATATGGAGAGTATATTATGCGAAGAGCATCTCAATAAATGGTCATAAACTAAACAACCTACGTTTCGCAGGTGACACAGCCCTTCTTGCAAATAGTCAAGCAGAGCTGATGGAACTTATACGACTGATCGAAAACGAAAGTCAAATATTTGGTCTGCAATTAAACATATCAAAGACAAAGATCATGATAGTGGATAGACTACACAACAATCATCCACACATAACCACAATTGACCGGTTCGAGGTTGTGAGCTCATACTTATATCTAGGATCATTAATCACAAACACAGGGTCATGACAAGAAGAGATTAAACGTAGATGTGATCTAGCAAAAGTTGCCACAGCAAAAATGACCAAAATATGGAAGGAATGTCAAATTTCAAGAGCGATAAAGATGAGGTTGATCAACTGCTTAATATTCCCAATACTGACCTACGGATGTGAATCTTGGACTCTGAGACAATCGGAGAGAAAAAAGATAGACGCCACTGAAATGTTCTGTTGGAGACGAATGTTACGAATTCCTTGGACCGACCGTAGAACAAATAATTCAATTTTAAGAGAGCTAAAAGTTAGCCAACGACTCTCTAGTAAAGTCCATCTCCAACAATTAAAATATTTTGGGCATGTTATGAGAGCAAACACAGAAAACATGAAAAGACTCATAATATAAGGAAAGGTAGAAGTCCGAAGATCACGAGAAAGATCCCCAACAAGATGGATAGATCAAATTACAGGAATATGCCAAAGACCTATGCATGAATTAAAAGAAATGACCAGAGACAGAGATCTCTGGAGACGGACAATACACGACATCACGTCGACCACTACACTCCCCCTGGGGGTCAGGATTGAAGAGAGAGAGAGAGATACTACTCCGGAAATGAAATAAGACAAGGTGAAAGAGGAGTAGAGTTTATAGTAACCAAAAGACTGCGAAAATCATTTACACCAATATCAGACAGAATTTGCACCATAGGAACGTAACAATGGTAAATGTATATGTACCAACGAAAGGGGCTGATAAAGACTAGGTTGAAAGATTCTATGGAGAACTTTAGGAAGTATGTGATAAAATTCAAAGACATGATTATGTTATAACATTCAGCGACTTTAATGCTAAGCTGGGACTAAGTTAAAATGGACTATGTAATTGTCAGCACTAACTTCCAGAGAAAAGATTTCCATTAAGAAACATGGAAAATACCAGGAACGAATGAAGCCAATCAAATTGACCACATCCTCATCTCAAAAAGATGAACAAGAGACATAACCAATGTCAGAATGTATCATGGGGCGAACTCTGACTCAGATCACTATCTTCTGGCACAATGGCAAAAGGGAAATTTAACCAAATTAAAAAATGAAATGGTGATGGATTCAAAAGTGCAACAAAGACACAAGAATATCAAAATACTCTTCAAATAAAACTCAACGGAATAAAAAAGGAATATACTACAGAGGAAGAATGAAGACAATTAAAAACAATAATAATAGAATCTGCGGAGGAAACTGTCCGAAAAACCAAAAGGCAAAGAAAAGCGGAATGTTATGATGATAAATGCAGAACTGCAGTAGAGAAAAAAGGCAATCTAGGCTTAACCAACTTTAAAGAAACACAATAAGTAGCAGAGAAATTTATAACGAGAAGAGGGTACAAGCGACCAGAATATGCAAAAGAAAAAAAATGAGAGGCTTTGAAAAATCAAGTACAAGAAATCCTAGAATCCCAGAAATCCAAGAAAACGAGACAATATGTTTTACAAAGGAGCAGCACGTTAAAAATCCGAGTTATGAAGAAGTAGTTCAAACAATAAAGAAACTAAAAAAACAGTAAAGCGCCAGGAGGACGGGGTTTCGGCAGATTTGTTGAAATATGCAGGACCCAAACTCTTGGGAAGAATCCATTACCTGATAAAGTTGGAATGGACCAAGAAGTAAATACCGGAGGAATGGGCAGTTAGTTTTATACAGCCAATATATAAGAAGAAGATAAATGACATAGCGTAGATTGTCAGAATACTCCGAAAATACAATTGGTGATTATCGAAATGGATTTAGACCAAATAGAGCCACTGCAGACAACATATTCATACTAAGAACAATACTAGAGAAAGCTTGTGAATACGACATAGAACTATATAATACGTATATAGACTTTAAACAAGCTTTTGATAGTGTGAAAAGAGTCAAAATGATGGAAGTCCTCCGAAATCTAGGTATACCAAAAAAATATATCAGCCTCATAAAAATGACGTTAAGGGTTCAAAAGCCGCAATTAAAGTAGATGCAAAACTGTGTCTCCTGTTTAACAACCCTGTTCAACGTGAGGGTGACACAGGGAGACACTTCCAACCATTTAACCTAGTTCTCGAAGCAGTCATCAGATATCAATGTAACCGGCCATATAAATAACAAAATAGTACAAACTAGTGAATATGCAGACGATGTCACCATTAGTAGTAGAAGCAAGACACGACTAATGGAAGCCTTCAAGGAAATTGATCCTGAAGCACAAAAAAAGAGGGCTTAACATAATCGAAACAAAAACTAAATAGATGACCATCAAAATAACACCTGAGAATGAAAATAATATAGCAATAGACAACTATACCATTGAACGTGTGGATGTTTTCGTATATCTGAGTACAAAGATCAATCAGAAGGATTCCGTAAGTAGCGAAATTAATGCACGTATTTCCAGTGGAAATCGTACATACTATAAAAGATTGATGATCGAAATTATTAGACAAAAGAACCAAAATGACTATCTACAGAACCTTTATTAGACCCGTAGTAACCTATGGTTGTGAAACCTGGATATTGACGAAAAAAGAGGAAGCCTAACTTAGGATATTCGAGAGAAAGATACTGAGAAAAATATATGGCCCGGTGAAAGAGGAAAACGGCAAAGCGGCACGGCATTCTCTAAGAGAAGACTATGACCCTACATGATTTATATGGTTCTATATTAAATGAACTGCGCCAAAACAAACAGAAAACAGAAGTATCTGGATATGTGGATATGAAATAATTGTACTCGGTGTAATGGAAGTTAAAGAAGAAAGTGACAGATCTTACCTTTTAACTTTAAAAGAATTAGAGAAGGTAAATTATTCAAGTTTAGCAAGATTCTCAATGTTGCCTTAGGCTTTTGTAGCTAAATGGCATTTATGAAACTGTGTTAGTAGTGGTCACAGACGGTGCATCTTGTATGCCCACCAAAGTGGCGTGGCAGTGGCAAGTAGCAAGTAGCACGCGTCTAGCATAATGTAACCAATCCTAACGAATGA